TCCAGAGATAAACTACAGCTGTTCTACATTTCATGGGATGGTGTAGTTAATCAGTAGCTCTCCAACTCATCCTAATAGCCCCGTGGGTCCTCCAGTCCCAGTGTTATACAGGAAAACTGAACAATTTCATATCTGCATCTGCAGAAAATATTTCCAAAACTAAACAAGTAAATGGCACTTTTTACCATGCTTTACTCTTTATTCATTTGGTGAACCCAGAGTTTCTCAAGAACATGTCCATCCATGCAAGATATTTTTTCCATCTCTATTTTATGAGTTAAATGGAACCCTAACATCTAAACAGTATATCAATGTCATGTATTCAGCAGAGGAAAGAGAGTAAGCTTATTCTGAAATTAATTTAAGAAACAATAAAACACAGTTTGAAAGTGGTATGATTCCTTCTGCTAACACTGAGATCACATTAAGTTTAATAACAAATCATCTGCTCTGCCATGAAGTGAAAACAAACATTAGCTGGAACACACCTTTCATGTTTCAACATAGACCAAATAATGCAAAAGCTTTGACCCCTAAACTGAAGCCAGCTGCTTTTCTTGGTCATACAGCAGTTACACATGATACTTGAGCACATTTTGCAGCATAAAAGGCATTTTCAGCGGTCTGTAATGAGTGGAGTTGTGTAGAAAGCACACTTCCAGGTGTTTTACCACAGAAAACTGGAGAAACCAGAGTATATTCCATACTGGGGGAGTTCAGGCATCTCCCCTGTGCTCACTGCTCCCACAAAACCACCAGTACATGGCCCAAACTTGGCAATGCTTTCAGCAACACATGCTTATGCTTTTGGCAGAAGGGAGCTGACCACTTGCAGCATCAGTGTCCTCTGCCAGCTGGCCAAAGAGCACACAGATGCAAGGGAAGCAAATTATCTGCCCACTGGCAAAAAGAAATGCTGAACAGAACCTAAAGAAAACGTGTGTGCACGTGTGCTCAAGTGCAAGTGAGGGTGCACGTGAGCACACACCCCCACACCTGTGCCTTGGGAAAGGGAGTAGCTCAGTTAAACTGTTAAAAACTGTCTGCTACTGGTCTGAGATAGCATTTTCTGCAATACTCTCACAACAGTGAACATGCACTTTTTCCATTAAAATCTTCCAAGTTGAAATTTTAAGATTAAACAAAAGGACTGCAAGGATGCTAAAGAAAATTTTTTAAGTCTGAAATCAGACCCCTTCAAGAAAGTGCTGATACAACCACCTACAGGATTTTAGCAACCTAAGGTTAGCATGTCTTTGCATCTTCCCTCTTTTTTTGATCTCTTGAAAAATGAATGCTCACAAAAAACCCTAAACCACTACACATATATTTGCTAAAAACCAAAAAGCTTTCTGGATTTAGAAGACACATAAGAAAAATCTCAGAAAAATTAATGGAGCAGACTGGTTAGGTTTAGCTGTGAGATGGAATCTGTCTCTAGATTAATTATATTCTACAATCACAGCCCCTTTTCATCTGCACGCATCCCACCACTATCATTACATGATCAACAGATTTTAATGAAAATTATGCTTTGCATTAAAAAATGCTTTCTTTTAAAAATTCATGGGAGACTTATACATAAGGTTTAGTTTACTTTTCTAAATATTTCTTGAAAATTGTACATAAGGCAATCACACATTTGTTGGCTGTAAAGGTGTACAACAGCAATTTTTTGCAATGACAGTGCAGAGAGGGAATATGAGATCTGTGTGCTAATGAGCTGACACTGCAGAGGCTGGAGCAGTGTTAGTATAGTGCACTACAAGTGCAGAGCAGACCGACAGACGTGTTATTTCTAGGGAATGTAATTTACAGAACACACATTTAACATTAACACAAAGATCCTTCATCAGATTATGAGAAATGCATGGAAGATATAGCTTCAGTGACAAATTTATATATATGACTTGTTATATTCATGTTATTCTGAAAAAGCTAGCTGACTCTCTACATGAGCATTTTTAAAGAAAATAGAACCTGATTTTGATTTTATACATTCATAGGTCAAGTTATCTTGTTTTCTGCTTCTACTGATAGCAAAAAGCTGCATATTTTAAGAAATGTAATAATTTCCCTAGAGCCAACCGATAAACTTCAAATTCACCTTTAAATACACTGGAATTTTCATCTGTGTTTGCATTTGTTGTCTGTTAAGATATCATACAGCTAAATAAATAAGTGGGCAGAAAAATACAGAGCGGATAAATATTGTACGAATGTGTGTAAATTAAATATACAGACAGGGGCTTGGTGCTAGTGGTGAAGCAGGCAATACATGTACATAAATCAGATTATGCATCATTTAACTGAAAAAGGAATGAGAGGGAGGGGCTTAGGGAAGGAATTTTCTTTTGCTTCTAAACAAGTTTGTTCCCATGTTGGGATATTGCCAAATCTGCCATAGCAGAGGTAGGCTATTTTTCTCAGGCTCATGAGAATACTTCAGAAGAGGGTTTTTTTCTCCTCTGGAATGCACCAGATTGCATCAAGCGGGATGTGCAGCTGCACAGTAAGAACGTAAGTCTTTCTGAGCAGAGCCCCCCCCAATCCCTGCACACAGGCACACTTACTACAGTCACTATCATACAAATCAATGCAAAAGAGAATGAAAAGTATTATTTCAAGGATACTGACTAGTACAGGCATTAGGCTCAGGCTACACATGCTCCTTCCTTCAATTTCCTCTTAGCTCCTGTACCTATCCCACCACAAAGTCAGCCCCAGCCTCCCTCCCCAGTGAAGGCAGAGTCACTGCAGGTTTCTTTCCTATGGAACACTGCCAATTGCAAATATTGATCAAACGACTGTGTGACAGCACTGGAGACAATATATGCTTATCTCCAAGTGAGGTAAAATTGTTGTGGAAAGAATTCCTTCATGGATATGGCAGCACACTGAAATTATCTGCCACTCCCCTAGGAAATGAGGATAAGGTTAAAGGCTGGAATTTTGGTCAGGTAGTGTGAGGAGCTCTTAATTCATCCTAATGCATTGATACACATAACTGTTCTGACTTTCAAAGATGATTAGTACCAAATTCAAAAGAACAACTGTTCTGATGGGGTTTTTTATATTTTGAGCGACTGAAGCCTATGACTGGTGACTTGCACTCATCATATTCTTTTCTTATCAACAGTACTATGAGATGGTTAACACAGCACAGACAAGGTCACCTTTTAATTTTCTTTTGTCTGTTTCTTTTTTCACATCTGCTTTTAAATAGGTTACTCTAGGTACATAATCTTTGGTCTACAGTTTCTCCAGAGATTTAAGTTTTCCCAATTTTACTGTACTCGTAATACAGGTGTTGGAACATGAAGCCCTGTACTACAGAAAACCACCCCACTTTACTAAAATTGACATAGCTTTTAGTAAGCATTGACAAAAATCATTATAATGTCAGAAGATGAGTAGAACACTGACTAAATATACTGACCGCCCCTAAACAAATGTGTGGATCACTTATCCTGGTGGAAGAAGCACTGGTAAAAACTTTTAAAAAACAATTAATAATTAATCACCCAAGCAGTTCAACATAATTAGTTTAAATCCATATAATTGATATTTAGGAAACTGTGTTTGAGATATAGCCTCTTGAAGGGATTACACTGATTAAGGATTAATAGTCTGATGTTTGTTGTAAGAACTGTTGAGGCTGGATAGGATTAGTAAAATAAGATGCAAAGTAGAGACATTTATTTACCATTTTTTCCCACTTTACCAAATATTTTTATTGTATACTACACAATTAACACCCCTGCAAAAGTTTTAAAGCTCCTACTTCAAAGTCCTTTGGAGAGTATGCTGCACTACCAAGAAGCAGTCACATGGGGGATATGTTAGAATATAAATCCAAAATTTGTCCAAATATTTCCTTTCTGTATATTTTTTAACCATCACCTTTCTCACAATATACAGTGGGACTGGAATGTAAGAACTATCCTACCTCCTGCAAATAAAAAAATAAAGAAGTCATTCAAGACAATAACTTAATAATATTTAAAGCAAAAATTACTAATTTTCTGTACTCCAGTACTTCATTATTTCAGTACAACACTTCCTCTTTGACCATTTTATAGTGTGAATATAAACCTGCAAACTGTGAGAGGAAACCTGTTCATAATGTAAAGTTAGTACATTGTATTCAGCGGTCCGTTAGATCATATGCAGACATATATCTACATGTTGCAAAGTGCATTAGTTACCTTGGAAGAGGACTCCTTTCATTTTCAAAGATTTACAATAAAACTTGTATAGAATCGAATTTGGATACATCAGTAAAACAAATATCCAGGAACCAGTATTGGTAAAGGAATGCTTCTTAAAATGCAGAACATGCACGAGTCTTTCTAAAGAGATTTTGCATTTTAACACCACATTAGCAATACTCAAAGTTCTATTTTGCATCTCCTGTTAATAAAAGCTCAAATTCTATGCATGTACTCCTTGTGCAGTGCTGTTTCTCCTAATGCCAAGTGTTCTGATTCCATTTTCTCTCCCCTCAGCTCTAACAGTATGTGTCAGTTTACAGTCTCCTCAGCTTTTCACAGGACTCTTGCTGTAAGAAAACAATTCAGTACTTCAAGGCAGATGCAAGTAAGACCCTCTAGCCTTCTCCCCTCAAGGTCACTTCTAAACAGTTGTTTCTGGTTTTTCCCTACATAGTATATTATTTGCAAATTATGCCTTTTCACACAGCTAGGTTGTAGCCTCAACAGAAAAGGGATCTTACTTCAGCAGCAATTCACTGATTGCAGCTCCACAGCATTGCTATATCAACAACATGGTTGTTTTCCTGAAAAACAAAACTAAGGGGATGAAGTAACAAGAGAACTTTACCTAAGGTATTCCATAGAATGCTGCAAATCTACTAAACCTCCAGTCACTACACACATTTATTCCACTATACTGAATGACCAAGAACTCTGGGCTAGCAGGAAGGAACTGAATGCAAGGTAACAAATGAATATATTTTTTAAAACCAGGTATTTACTTACAAGCATTTGTCACTGAAAAACTGTTGGAAGAGTCCAAGTGATCTACGTGATAGTTCAAATGGAAGGGCTTTTCTGTGGTATTTTGGTTTGTGTTGTATAGCTGCACAGCAAATCTAAATGCACTGTGCTCCTGAACAGTGTTTCTCATGAAAAGTCCACCTACAACAGGAGAAAAACAAAAAAGGAAAAAAGGAGAAAGATATTTCAGAATTATTTTTGAGGAGAAACAATAGCAAGAAGTTATATTTGCCTGCTGCACACTGCAGGAGAGAATGTACAAGAGCAGCCTGAACGTGAGCACACAACTCTAATAGAGTACCTACATGAAATACATATTGCAAGTCCAAAGTTAGGCTTCTAAAGCCACACACCACATTCAGGTGCCCCCTGAGCAATGAGAGTCGCTTGGAGCTGCAGGTGCACCTTGAAAACCAGGCCACTTCTACACGGATGCCCACACAGAGATTTTAAAAGTCTAACTTGGGGAACCGTGGCTCCTAAATCCTGTCCAGACTATCGAAATATCGCCACTGTAGTTGTGTGCGGGGACACGGCGGCGTGCGGCGTGGCAAACGTGCGGTTTCACGGTCTGGTGGAGCGATAGCGCGGCCGAGGGAAATGATGCTCCGAGGGACGGCAGGGAACAGCCCCCGCTTCACTCGCTGCCTTGAGCCTCACAGCACGCTCGGCCCCGGCTTTCGGGCACGTCGCTACAGATTCACGCCACGACTCTCACACTATGTGCTCCACGGGATGCGCTGCTCCAGGGCCCGGTTCCGCAGAGCGCGGACCCGATCCCCGCCGCTCGGAGGGGTGCGGGCAGCCCGGCGCCGCTCGCAGCCGCCCGCCGGCGCAGCCCGGGCACCGCCGCTGCCTCTCGCCCCCAGCAAGGGGAAGGAAGCAGAGCAGGGCTGGCCCCTTCCCTTCGGCGCCTGGGCTCGTTCCCCGTTCCCCTCCACACAACTTGCCCCCGGCTGGCGGGGAAGGCGCGGGTCGCGGTGCCGCGGCGGGCGCTTACCTATACTGATGGTGTTGGGGAACCCCGCCAGAGCCTCCCCCAGCAGCCCCGCCAGCAGCAGCAGGAGGGTCCGGGGCGCGCTCTGCCCCATTTTCTTCAGCCCCTGCGGTTCAGCCCCTAAACCGAAACTGGCGGCACAGGCATGGGCGCAACTGGAGATTCGGAGCGGTGTCAACAGTGGTGGCGATGCTGGCGGAGGTGGTAGGGAGGATGGTCCCCCTCCTTTCGTCTCCTTTTCCTATTCTTTCCTTCCCCAAATCCCTCTGCTCTCGTCTTCACCCCAGTCTAGCAGGGCTCATTGGCTGCGAGATTGCCTTTCTCCCCCGTCTCCAGCAGCCCCCCCCAACGCAGGGACTTCCCCCAAAGATGGTGGGTAGCGGAGCCGCCGAGGCTGCTCCGCCCGGGCCGGGAGGGGATTATCGATCAAACTTGGAGTGAGGCGGGCTGGCAGCCGCTCAGCTCAGCTCGGCCCGCCCAGCCCCGGCGGCTCCGGCCGCGGCTCAGCGCTCGGGGCTGCGGTCGGCGGGAGCGCACCGGCCTCACGTGGGGCGGCCCCTGGGCTGCAGCTGCCCCTTTAAAGCTGCATCGGCTTGGTGTGTGTGGTGTGTGAGAGAGTGAGAGTGTGCGGTGCGTGCGCCTGTGGGCGGGCGAGGGAGGGAGTGGGGAAAGGAAGGAGGGGCGGGGAGCCGAGCCGAGCTGAGCCGGGGCTGGCAGAGGAGGCCGGGTATGGTGCAGAGGTGGTCGGGACCTGCTCCTGCCCGGCGAGCGGTGCGGGCGGCCCAGAACTTGTGGGCCGGGAGGCAGCAGAGGTAGCTCGGGGGCGGGAGGCCCGGTGATGGCCGGGGCAGGCGGGTGCCTGAGGGGAGAGGGCTGGGGAGAGACGTGAGCGCAGGGGCTGCCGAAGAAGGGCTGGAAAGGGCCATAGCAAGGGATGCCGAGGGACCGTGTGCTTTCTCGAAGGGGCTGCGGCCCTTCGCCCGAGTTCTCCCCATCCCTCCTCCAAGTGCCAGCGCCTCAGCAGGGAAGCATCATCCGCCCACAATACCGTGAAGAAAGACAAGAGTTTAATCCCACACGAGAGAATGTTAGGTCCTTCCCAACCTCCTTTAAAGGAAGGAATTCAGATAAAGTCTCCCTGTTTCATCCTTGATGCAGGAAAAAGATACAGCTGATGAGCTGCCCCAGCACAGAGCACATAGCAGGGCCAACCTGGTGGTCGCAAGGGAACAGGGGGATGGGTGGCAGACAAACCATGTGTCTTGGAACGCTAGCCCAGAGACGCCCCTGGTCTAAGTAGCCACAGGGAGCTGCTGTGTGTCTGCCTGAGTCAGGTTCCCTGTGGTCTTTCACCCATCTCCTTGACACTTTACTGTATGGATTCTACAGTGCTTTTCTTGTTGCTGCTTTGGGGCTCACAAAACTACAAAATGGAGACAGAAAAGTGATACTGTGTGGAATTGTTAATCTCATAGGCCTGGCAAAGACTGTTCTTCCCTTAATATTTGCTTTTCCTCTGATTTCAGCAGGTCACTACCTCAGTGTTGTCCTGTTTCTTTTTTTATCTTAATCTTAGACTTGTATTGCTTGGGTCAATGCCCATTTCAGTTAGGGATAATATTAAATGCAGTTAGCTTTGCATTTGTAAAATAATCAACCATTGCCACTGGCTGTAGCATCATGTAAGTAGTCAAGGAGTAAGGTTGAAGATTGCTACAGATTACTGCACAAATGCTGATGAAGACATTAGAGATTCAAACCACTACTTTTGAAGGAAGCTAGAGGTAGAGGTGAAGAACAGAGCACCACAGTCATGATGCAGGAGTGTAACACATGCTTTTAGTGACATGTGTGTGACGCCTGTTCACTCCAAGGTGCATGCACTGGTTGCTACATGTTGTGCTCCTTTATGAGAATCATTCCCAGAAGATGGAGACTGTTCTGGTTCAGGTAGGGGTAGGATCAGGCTGCAGGGTAGATGGTAATGTTCTGTATTTAGATTGAGATGGCAGTTGTCACTTTATCTTTCTTATTAAAGAAATAGTTATCTGTATGGACAGGTGGGGTACAAGGTCCATGATTATAGCTATAGCACTCCTCAAGCTCAAAGCCCTTACCACATTTTACCTATGAATTCCTGTAAGCATCCCCATGAGGCATGAGTATATTCTTCTTTTGCAGATGTAAAAATTTAAAAATCAGGGAGAGCAACTGGCCCAGCTCATCTAACCAGGAAGTTTCAGACCCAGAATTAGCATCATGAGCAGCAGCACGGGTTTGCTGTACAGCACTCTGCTCACAAGTGTCTTTTGGTAAGGATAGCAGATCTGAAAGCTACAGACAGGTACAGGAAGTTTAGACATTAAGGACAGCTGTCAGAAGCACATCCCTCTTAGCAAATAGTTTCTCTGTCTTGCTCCAAACTACTTGCCTTTTTTTTTTATTCTACACATCTCCAGCCTATTTCTAATGTATTCTCTACAAAGTCCTGCTGTCCTGTTTTTCTTGGTGTCCTTTGCTATCGGCCCTACTTTCTTCCTGTTCACCTGCTCTTATGAAGTTCTCACCATCCCTGCTGCAAGTATTGCAGGCTGACTGCCACCTGCCACACTGACAGCTGATGGTGCACTGAAAAAATAATGAAAGAAATTATGTATAACATTATAGATGTTAGAACAAGAGAGGAGATAAAATAGCCATGAATGAATGTGGCATGTGTCACTCAGTTTCACACATTGCCAGCAGGGTGGGTACCTTGTCTCCAAGAAAAGGGTGCTTCACAGCTTATTCTACAAATGGACAGGCTTGTGGTGATCTAAAATATATCTGTGCTGAGAGACAAATTTTCATTATTACCCGCATTCTTCCTTCTGAAGCCCCTTAAATGTTGTTGTTATTATTCTCATTAGCATTTGGAATATGCAGTTTTCTTTTTGCTTATGCAGTTAGTCTTACGGCACGATTAGCAGGTACAAATGGCACAACAACCATCCCATATGGATTTTGGAGAAATCCAGAGACCTCATGCCAGTTTATCTTTCTTACAGTGAACCCAATGTGTCCTGGTACAAAATGGTAGATTAGTTGCCTTTATGTGTATATTAATGCCATAGAAATATTTTATATACTTTGCTAGCGATGCTCAGTGACTTGAATGAACAAGTTCCGTGGTAACTGAGGTAATACCAGATGCTTCTCCAACTTTCCCTTACTAAATACAACCAAGATTTTGCAGGATAATCAAGCTTCACATTTAGATGATTTATAGTGTTCTGGGACAGTGGGGATTCAGAGTATCTACCTGAGCAGGGGAAGGTAATGATTTATAATTAGCTAATGTGTTCTCATTGTAATGTCTAATAGTGGATTAGAAAAATGCAATGGAATTTGGGACACAGCGCTCTCACTGTGCTTTCTAATGTTACTAGGCTAAACCCATAGTGTTAGCATAAAGTCATGGCAGAATCTACAGCAGGACTCTATTGCTGAAGCTTCACCCTAATTGCACTAAGCAGACTATTACTTTTGTCATTCCTATTTCTAATTGCAAGAGAGAAGCTCTTGCAGAGCAAGAGAGGCAAGAAAGATTCTAACAAATATTGTGTTTCTCCCCATGTGGACCAAATCATGTCATAATTGCTAATAAATGTATTATCAAATGTGTCTTACATATTTTTTTGTTTCCTTGTTTTAAACCAGTTATTTCTTCATAAAAGCAAAGGACACACAAGTAACCAAACTTTATGTCAATGTCAGCATTTCGATTAGCTAAACTGATTAATTCTACATTACAGTTAACAGATAAAGTGATAGTGGGGAGAGACAGAAGGAAAGATGAAAAGGGATTCAGGGACAAGATGAAACTACAGATAGTCAAGGGGAAAGTACAGTGTCAAAAGGGAAAATGAATACAAACATTACAGCTTCATACATTTTGGAAAACAGGTCAAAAGAACATGTAGTTAAGATCTGATTATGAGTGGCCATAGAACAAACTATTGAAGCTCTCCTGTTTACCTTTCATTACCAGACAATAAGAGAGACATAAAATGAAATTAGAAAGCTGTAGGTGAGGAACAGTTTAACAAATATTCTGTTGTGCAGTTTACAGCTAATCTATAAAGCTGTCTTCTACACAATATTCTTGGCAAAAATAATTGTTTTTAGAAGTTGGAAATTTTATGTGAATTAGCAGAGTAAATGTACTCGACAATCTAGTAAAATGCTGTAGGGATTAATATTCAAAATACATTGCAAAAAGCTGTGCCCTGCTGCCTTGAGAAAGACTTACGCCTCTTATTTATGATGAGAGTTTATAGTATGTCTAAAGTTCTCTGAAAGTTACCTTTTGCTGGTTAGTTTTAGAAACAGGTTCAGAGACTACTTGAATCATTGATTTGTTGTTATTCGTTTTTCCAAAGAACAGTTAACAGGTGAAATCCTAGAACCACAGAGATGTGTACAGTAGGATTATTACCCCTATCATTGGAGCTAAGGTTATACCCAATACATCCTGGCAGAATAATTGGGTCTGGCACATAGGAATATGTTCTAGTACATGGAAGGATAATCAAGATTTGTATAGGAGCAAGGTCAAAGAGGAAACTTGTTCATAAATAAAAGTCATTACTCCATTACTGAAATCTAATTCAAGTTTAGGTAGCAGCAGCAAATTATATCAGAACTATATATGGACTGTAACAGTAATAACATATCTATTACAATTGCACAACTAAGACACAAATGTGGAAACAGTCAGTATGGACAAATATCCATATTTCTTGGCTTTGTGGTATCTTCAGGATACGTACTTCTAATTCTAAGAGCTACTGAGCTACTGGAAATTTAGTGTTATTGTAGTCCTATAATGTCAGAAACAATTTATATTACCTTCTGCTTTCTGATTAACTGTACACTAGGCACTGCTGGCATAATACGACCCTGCAATTCTTACTTAAACCTGTACTTTGCTGTGCTCATCTATATTTATTACATCAGGAAGCAATAAATCAAATAAAAATGTGGTGGTATCCCCTATATACTATTAATAAAGTGGATACTCTCTATTTTATACCTATGAATATAGTTTTCAAGAAATCTTGGGAGCTGTATTCAATTCATACCCATTTCAACTGTGAAACATCTGACCACTGAATATTTAATTTTTGTATATAATTACTGAAATATATTCTTCTTAAAG